ACAAGGGCCTTGTTCGAAGGTACAAGGGGCCATATCGAGTGGTCAAGAAGATCGGCAAGGTGCTGTACAAGTTGGACTTCTCACTCAAACCGAAAGTGTATCCGGTATTCCACATCAGTATGCTGAAGTCCTACCATGCTGATGAGGGGGACCCTAGCCGAGGGGAAAGCAACAGGGCTCCAATGGGCATTCGAGCGGCGTACGATAAAGAGGTAGAAGAAATGCTGGCCGATAGAGTACTCCGACGGAAGCGCCACATGCCCCAACATCAATACCTAGTAAAGTGGAGGGGATTGCCCGAGAACGAAGCTAGTTGGGAGTCTGCGAAAGACTTGTGGCAGTTCCAAGATCGGATCGACGCCTTTCACACGGCAGCGAGGACTCATTGTGTCATGGACCGTAGTTCAGCATATTAAAGGTGGCCTGAGGGTGTTTCGGAGTGCCGGTATATGGGAGAGTATTGCTGGAAGAGAACCCCCACTGGATAGCAGAAGGCAGGTGCAGGGTGCCTAGCAGGAGCGCGCAGCATAGACCCCTGGGTGAGCCAGCCTGCATAGAGCCAGGCAGACTGTGAGCGGGTGGCCTAGGCGCGTCGGCCCGCATAGCAGTGCGCGACAAGCACAGCAGGGGTGAGCGGCACGCATAGCAAGGGTGAGCGAAACGCAGACTCGCACAGGAAGGGTGCGCGACATACAGGCCCAAGGTCGCAGGCCTGCACAGCATGGGCTCGCGGCATGCAAGCCCGGGGTGCGCTGGCGTGCAAAGCAGGGGTGCGCGGCACGCCGGCCCGCATGGCGCCCAGACAGATTGCCTGCGCGTGGCCCGCGCCCACCAGCTCGCTAGTGCCCAGGTACACAGCCTGTGCGCGACCCAGACCTACAAGGAGGCCAAAAATGATACCGGTCCACTACACCAGCCCTTTTAATGGCCTGAGCTGCTGGAATTTTAGTTTCCCTCCTAAAAATGTTTGGAGGGAATTATTTTGGAGGGAACTCTTTTGAGGGAAATTGGCTATAAATAAGCCCTTGTAGATTGTGTAAATCAGATCAGAATTCAATACAATTCTTAGCTTTTCTTTTTCACTATCAAAAATTCTGTAGCCCTCTCCTCTCTTCTCTTCCCTTCCCTTTTCTGCAAGTTTGCTTGCTGGCTTAAAGCCTACTATGTGCATGTGCGGGTGACGGTTGACTGAAAAGCAATGTGTTGCGTGTGAGTGTGCTAAGTGCTTGCTGTGTGGGTGCTGAGCACTAAGATTGACTTGGGTTTTAGCATCGAGATAAATGGTGAACCCAAAACCACACGGAGGGAGGTCTGAAGAACCACCCTGTGACAATTGAACTTTGATTTTGCAATCAGTTCATCCATTGCTTTAATTTGCCAAAATGGAAAGCTAATGTGATGTGCTAGATTGTTTTTTTTTTATGTTTAGATATAAAAAATATATGGGGTTGAAGTTATTTAAAAACGTTATTATTTTATTACATAAATTATATATATTTTTAATTTAAATTAGAGTTTAGTGAAAATTTCAAACTTGATAGATATTCCCTTGACCGTAACGTGTGTCCACCATGTTAAAAGCTATTAAAAAGGCTCACAAGCAATGTAAATTCCACAATTTATTTATTATTCTTTTAAAGTGAATCATCAATCAACACTAAAGTTTTGTTTGGTTGATACTTTTTTTATTTCACGTTTATTTATTTATTTACTTTTTTTTCTGTTTATTCATTTTTTTACTGAAAAAGCAAAAAAATAAAAAACAAGAACATTTACCAAACGGAACCTTAGCTACTCAAAATGGGATAAATTCAATTAAATTTAAGTATTTTTCAGTAGTGGGGGAATATTTCCATGTAATGGAGGAAAAAAAATTGTGGAGTGTAATGGATTAACAAAATCAGATATCAAATATAGTACCATTAAACTAACAACAGAATTGATTACATTCACAATTGAATTTTGCTTATTCAATACAATTTATACTATTTTTTTTCTTTTTCCCATTACACTCTAAGAAAAATTTCCCTTTCAACTATGTGTTTTTAAAATAAAATAAAAAATTATTATTTGCATATGAAAGAATACAAAAATTTCTTCATTTCTTACTAGCAGTATAGCAAGCAAAGCAAAAATCCAAAAGCCTCCTACATAATAGTAACAAAAAGTTATGGAAAAGGAAACATGCTTTAGATCTTAATAAATGTCAACATAAATATTTTAATATTTTTTGTGTTACATTGCACTTGAACATTTATCTTAATGATAAATGCATGTATCTCTTATTCAAAAGAATTGAGTTGAATTCCCTTTACTCTTAAATTTTACTTTATGTGAATGTACTTTAAAATCTTTTTTTTCCCTTTTCAATTAGTTTTTAAACCCTTTATGCATTTTGGAATAGAAAGGTGTTTCTTATTGTGAATTGGGCTTGAGCTTTAGAATTTGATTAGAAAGTCTTCTGAGCTGAGGTAGTATTTTTGTTTAAAATGCAATGGGTAATGTGCATTTTGGTGGGTAAAAATGTCCTTGTTATGATAGCATGTTCCTTCTAATTGTTTTGCTTGAATTGAAATGGGTAATGTGCATTTTGGTGGTGAAAAATGTACTTGTTATGATAGTATGTTCCTTCTAATTCTTGGTGCTCATAAGTAAGGGTGAGAAAAATTGAGTTAAAATAATTTTAATTGAGAAAAGTCGATTAATTCACTTAAAAAGATAGGTTAAGTTGAGTTGGTTGGATTAAAAAAATTTTAAATTGATTAATCGAATTCACCGATTTTATATTTATTATTTTTTTAAAACAAGTCTTGCATGTCACTCACTCAAAGTTTCTCTACACTCACATATAAATTAAGGGTTCATATTACATCAAACAAATGATAAATAGTACATAATCTCATTAATATTTTTGTTTTTTTATTTTAAATTTTATTTATTTATTTTTATGTATATAAATAAATAACATATGTCAATATTCAACTTTTCAATATAACAAATAATTAATTTACAGTTTTATAAATCTTTATTTAAACATTAATTGATATAATCATATAAAACACCTATAAAAAATTAATCATAATGTAAAACTAATATTCATAAAATTATTTCGTCATTTTTTATCAAAATTTATTTATTTATAAAATATGTGACCATCATCCCAATTATTTATAAAAAATGTGAAAGATTTTTTCATTAATCAATTTTTTCACTTGAACAAATCATGTATTTAAAATTTACTTTATTTAAAAAACTGAAAATATAACACTTCATCTTGTCATTTGCTAATCTAAAGATACAATTGAACTAGTAATTTGCAAATAATGTTTTAATTTCCACCACACATTCTAAAACTTGTTTCCATTAAATCGAATATATATGCGTGTGTGTGAGTTTTCGTCAATATTTTTTGACTAAAATACACTCTCTTAAGTTTTGATTATAATTACATGCGGGTTCATTAGTATTCAAATGAATAATCTATCTAAAAGAATATTTTTGTTGGACGCATAAGTTTTGCCATTAGTCAACCATCAATGTTTTCGTTGGTTTGATGATGTGGTAATATTATTAAGATAATTTTACCTTTCATTAATTTTAAAAATTACCTTATTATATAAACTAATTTTTTATTGTTTAATTTTTTTCCTCTATTCATAAAAAAATCTCTCTTACGCTACCTCTTTTTTCTTTTAGGTTGGTCAGTGGCTCTCCCTTACGCTGATTGACCACCCCCGATTGCATTCAGCCATAGAATGCTAAATTTGAATGAATATCTCCAAACCGCGATCCCTTGGGGCCACATTCCCTAAGGGGAGTGTGATCTCAATGTTCCCCTTCCCCTAGGGGAGCGGTGACAAGGGGTGGGGCAAGCGCGACTAGATCGCTCTCCCCCAAGAAGCACCGACTGGGGCTAGATTGTGCTCCCCCAAAGAAGCATTGACTGAGGGAGGAGGAAGTGCAGCTAGATCCAAGATTACGCTCCTCTAAAGGAGTGCGACCCCACAGAAGTGCAATCTAGGGAGATCTAGTTGGATTTGGCATTCCATGGCCAAATCTAACCGCAAGGTAACTGATTGGCCTAAGGGAGCACAATCGCTGGTCTGAGAGAAAGGAAAATACTAAAAAAGAGGAAAAAAAAAGTTTTTTAGACATTTCATGTTTATCCGTTAACACCCTTTACATGTTTGAGGCAAAATGTTCATTTTAAATACTATGAATGGTGTAATTATGGCCAAAATTTAGGAGAGTTAGCATATTTTACCAATAATTTTTCTCAGTAAGCACATCTTTTTTTATATATATAAATTTGGGAAAGGGGGATTAGAACCTAACTCTTTTTGGGAGAAAGATCATGCGCAATCAATGAGTTAAATACTCAAGTGTTAATTAAGCACATCTTCGTTAGACTTTTATTACTATTTTGACTAAGTTTTAGTTTGAGGTACATGACACCAAAGCTAGTCAACAATATATTAATAAAATACTTATCATTATTCATATATTATTTGATTTGTTTCAAGGTTATCAAAAATTTTTAAACTTTTATTGTTTAAATTTTGAGTGCATGCTTAGTGGTACAAACTTCGTTAGAATTGGATGATTAACTTATTATATCCACATAATTAGTCATACGATCAAGACATTTAACTTGGGATTTGACTTAATATAATGTAATAATAAGTTATTCTCATCTTTTCTCAAAATATATCAAATTTATTAAAAAAAATAAATGTAACAAAAGACTATTGATTTCATATGTTTTTGATGATAACAAAACATTTCTCATCCATTAATGTCTAATTACATCATTTAAATGTGTAGGATAAAGTTTAAATCCTGATAACTCTATTATATAGAGTTATTTTGACTCATTTTGGGAGCTTAAGTA